ACCAATGAAATATCCACTTATTGTTCTTGCATCCAGTTTCTTTTTTTGCGGATTATAAATTCTTATTTCTGCCTGACAACCCCAAACATGTAGGTGTCTCAAACTGGGTTTCCTACTTGTCCATAACTCAAAAGGAATCTTTTGAACATCTTTACTAGGAACCTTGTTCAACAAATACATGGCAGTCTTCAAAGTATACATCCACAACGATACAGGTAAATATGAATTACTTAACATGCTCCTAACCATATCCATTAAGGTTCAATTACACCTTTCAGAGACACCATTTTGTTGCGGTGTGTCTGACATTGTGTATTGAGCACAAATACCACGCTTCTCAAGGAACTTAGCAAACGGACCAGGGTGTTGTCCACTTCATCATATCTCCCATAATACTCATCATCTCTATCTGACCTTATAATTTTCACCTTTTTGTTTAATTGCCTCTCCACTTCATTTATATAACATTCTAAGGCATTTACTGCTTGAGATTTCTCATGTAGTAAATAGACATGTCCATAACGCGAGAAATTGTCAATGAAGGTGATGAAATACTTCTCTTTATTAAAAGAATTTACGTCAAATGGACCACATATATCAATGTGTATGATTTCAAGAAGTTGAGTGCTTCTTGTGGCTCCTTTCTTTGTGTGTTTTGTTTGTTTTACTTTAATACAATCCACACATATATTCAGATCAATAAAATCTAAATCTGGAAGGATTTCTTTCTTTACTAATCTTTGCATTCTTTCTTTGGAAATATGTCCCAAACGTTTATGTCACAAGTAAGCAGATATTTCATTCACCAAACTACGTTTAGTGCCAACATTATGATGCAAGGTCATGAGAGTTTTAGCATATAAATTATCCAAATTCAATTTATATAAATCATCATAAAGTGTATCAGTTCCAATCATACAAGTACGCTTAAATAAACTGAAACAATTATTCCCAAACTTAAAAGAGTATCCAACAACATCAAACTTAGACAAAGAAACTAAATTTCTAGTGATACTAGGTACATAAAAAGTATTCATAAGGTCTAAGTGATATCCAAAGTCAAGGATTAAACGATAAGTCCCGACAGCTTCCACTAGAACCTTGACTTTATTCCCCATGAAGACGAACTTCTCATTTGGGTTTATGGTTCAGGTTGAAAGGAATCCCTGCATCACATTAGAAACATGAGTCGTACATCCAGAATCAATCCACCAAGTATTATGGGGAACTTCAGTTAAGTTTGATTTAAAACATACGTAAGCACTATGCTCACATTTCTTTTCAAACTAAGCTTTACGCTTTAAACAGTCCTTATGAAAATGTCCAGACTTCCCGCAGAAATGATATTTGTCATTTTTCTTCTTAATGTTAGTAGATGATTCGTTAATCTTTAATGGTCATTTAACCTTTCCATGTTTCTTAACAACTTTCTTTTTAGCTCCTTGATTTTTTACGTAATGAATAGAGTGGTTTCCTAGGTTCTTGAGTTTGATCTCCTCCTGAACTAACATACTGTGCAATTCATGCACATTCTATTTGTCTTTCATGGTGTTATAATTCATCTGGAACGGACCATACCAGACGGTAACGAGTTCAAAATGAACTGCACAAGAAAATTTTCTTCCACTACCATTCCAAGATACTTGAGTCTTGTTACGACATTTGTCATTTCGATTACGTGTTCATGCATACTACAAGAACCATCAAATTTCATGGTGGTTAACGTACTCATCAATGTCTCAGCGAGAGATTTGTTAGCAGTTTGAGAGCGCTCTTCCACAAATTTCATAAACTCTTTCGCATCCTTAGTTTTAGGAAGAGGAGACTTAATATTGCTTGCTATACTGATTCGCATAAACATAAGACTAAGTCTGTTTGATCTGTCCCAAGCTCTATAATGAATTTTCTCTTCATTGCTACTAGCATCAGTGATAGCAACCGGTTTTTCAACTTGATAAGTCAAATCAAGATCCAACACACCTAAGTGAAATTGGACTTGCTCACTCCAGTTAGAGAAATTTAATCCATTAAAGACTGGAACAGACGAAGAAAACGAATGTAGAGTTACAGGAACATATATTGCAATTAACACATGTCTAACATTAATGTTTTGAGTCATACAAATTAAACATAAATACATATTCAAATATAAATAATCATTCTATGCATACTAATGTTCTCCTTTGAGAGATCCACTAATACACAAATATAATTACGCTAATCATTTTATAACATTAATGATAATTAAAATATGCATCAACTAGAATCACCTAACACCTTTGGGTATTTAAATAAAACTAGTGACGCACACAAAATTATCTACTTTCATGTTCATTAATTATAATAACAACTAATCAACCTTTGGGTGATCCTGAAATGTCTTATAATAATGAACTTCAATTAACCCATAAATCAATTATTCATAAGTTTTGCATTCATGGGTAATTGAAATAAAATTATTAATAATTTGAAATTAAAATAACCTTAAAATTTTTGTCACTTTGGTGACTAACAAAATTTATAATGCTTAATTTTAAATAAATAATATTTTTAATTGCTATTAATCATTCATAACATTTTTTATTAATTTTTCATTTAGCAATAACAAAACATAATTCATTCACCTATTCTCATTTTGACCTCATGTACATTTTAAATTCATATTGTAACTTAAATCAATTAAAGCGGCCATCGTTCATAATCATGTACTAATGTGAAAACTGACGACAAGCCACAAAAATAAAATCAAATTATCATTTGATGAAATTCATTTGTGGGAATTAGAGTCCGCGAGTCATCATCTATAGCTTCACCTAATATGCCACTTCACGTATACAAAAACATATATGAATTTCATGTTATTGGTCGTTTTTATCAAGTTAATCGGTCCAATAACTTCCCAGATATTTTACCATTATGTTTGAGATACCTGGCGGCACGTAAGGCAACTCCAAGCATCTAATCATTCCTTGATCAAGCATTTACCAATTCATAAATATAAAATCATTTGATGCAAATTAAAATAATTGTACGAAGTCATTCACTCACATGCTCACATTTGCAATTCAATTGCACACTAGGCCACACGTGTTAATTCCATATTGGTGTACGTGAATTGCATTATAAATTAAGCGACCATTGATGCCAAAAAAGTAGGAGGTCCAAAATAAATTAGGGTTTATTCATTTATTCAATTTTGGGATAAATTAAATTTGAGAATAAATTAGGGTTCATACTAATCTGATAGAAAAATCCCTAAATTCATAACTAAGGTTTATCTTAATTTGAAAAAAACATAATTTGGGAAAAACTAATAATAAATCTAATAACACAAGCTCGATACCACGTGTAAAACATTATGTAGTTTTTCTACGTTCTTAATTAATTCTAGAAAACTATTCTACAAGATTTTTAGATTATTAATTTTCACAATATAATATACATCAATACATGAATCATAGTAAGAAGACTAACTTTGATCCATGAGAATCTCTTCTTTAATCTTTTCGTTCTCCAATTTCCTTTTTCTAATCTATCTCTTTACCTTTCTTTCTCTTCTCGTGTTTTCTTGATGGTTTACCATGAAAAAACCTTTATGATCAGAGACAAAACCCTAATTCTCTTTTATTAACCAACGTCCATTAAGTTGGTTACCGTAAGTTTTTATTTTATTTTATCTTTATTTTATTTTGACTTTACATAATAACCAATAGGTCCTTATATTTTATTAAATCACATTTGAATCTATCATTATATTTCACATGAGTCACGTAATAGAATGAATTAATTAAATTAATTCTAACACCATCGTCTAAGTTTGATATAATTTAACTTTATCTTTCGAGTTAATAAAGAATAGGAGTATTAGAAATACAATTATACAACTTCTAACACACTTTTTTCAACATATTTGTTTATTGATTAAGATTTATTAAACACTGTAAAACATGGGAAAGATTAATCAACTAAAGTGAGTCCCACAAAATTATAAATTTTAATAAATTTATACCGATACAAAAATGTGTTTAAAATAGTATTTAGAAAAATGTAAGTGAGAGATGTTTGATACCATTAATTGAGTCACAAAATTAATGTTTTACTATAATAAATCCTTTCCTTTTTTTTCTATTTTGGCAGCTACAATCTCTTTCCACCTCCACATAACCTCATCCATAAGCCATCATTAATTCAATTCCCTTTACAATGTGTTTGAGATATGGATGATGGTTTAAAGGTAAGTGATAAGGTTGTATCTGGAGATGTGTGTTACGATGAACGTGTGATTTTATTGATTATGATAGTTGAGTAATGGAGTGTGGGTTAGGTTTGCATTTGAGTGTGGAACAAGATCATCACATCATTTGCTAATTCATATCATTCTCAACCTTCTACTAATTCTCATTTACAACCCATATTATGACCATCATAAAATGACTAAACCTTTATGGCTTTTCAGGTAATATTTTCTTGTTTTTATCGATGAAGTTCAAATCAAACTGCAATACCATATGTTTAATTTAAAACTCAAACTTTATGCCCATCATAAAAAACACCTTATGCTTCCAAACACTCGTAATTTATATTTTCATAGCAAGAATAATAACAATTTAAACAATAAAGTAGATATTACTTTAAAATTTAGCAGTGTTTTGCTTTTTTTATATTATTTTTTATTATTATTCAAAATTTACTAATTTATCCAAAATAAAAAACCAATGAGATTGCTTATTACAAAGCTTTCATGGACAAGTCTACCGATGAGGTTGCTTAGTCACCAAGACGAACAGCAAGAACATGTTAAGTGCAACTAGATACAATTTTCTGACATCGATTCAAAAATTTTCTGAAGAAACTAAAATGAGCATTCCAACAAAGGTACTTATACATAACTTTCCTTTTTTTTCCTTTTTACAGATGAATACGTGCATTACATAGCTATTGACACTAATGACAATGTCAGTTTTAACATTTAAACTACAGCTTTTAAACCAAGATGCTTGTCACCTAGGGCCAGAAAGTTCCATAGCTTCAACTATGAGTGAAGATTCCTCTATTAAATCTGAATATCTTTGAGGCTCACAAGACCGAAACCTTGGTGTTTCAATCCTCTGTGAAGCCTCCCATCTCTCAGCTAAGCCATCCCCTTCCAACATCTTTAATACTTCTGACATCTTGGGGCGGTATGAAGGATTGAATTGTGTGCACAAGAGTGCAACCTGAACCATTTCTTCTAACTCAATCAGATCAAAGTTTCCCTTTAGATCTTTGTCTACCATTTGACTTAATCTTCCATCCTGGTGGAGCTTTTTAACCTGAAAGTAGTTTGATCCACAGTTAACAAAAGAATAAAGAAAATGTATCCTTTAGACCCATTTACTAAGATGTCTACCAAACCACCTGCAAGATTACCATATCAGATTTAAATGTAAATCCAATTGGTATTAAGCGAACTTGTTCAACATATATACAGATATGATATGAGATTTCTCAACAATCAATTCTTTTACCATTTTTGATAGCACCAATCACCCCTATTCAGGCTCAAGTTTATTAGGATCATTAAATTAGCAAAACTTTCATTGTTTTCTTAATCCAGTTGTATTCATAGAACTTGAATCCAATACCATTTGTTAAGCTACAACATTTTTCTGCTATCTAATCAATGCACTTAAAAGGCTGATTTTAAGCAGATGAAAATGTAAGGTTTTCATCAAAATAACATTTAGAATATACTTTTTGTATTTGTGATGTAATAAATGTTTCCTTTCCCAATAAAAAACATTTCACTTTAGTTGCTTAGGATCAGACTAAGTATTAATGTCAACCAAACTGTTTTATTAATACCAGCTCCTGTTAAGTGAAATTACTCGAATACTCTTTCCATTAAAATTTGTAGGAAGACGAGTTGTGCATATAAGAATAAAGTTGTTCCGAGTGCCAACAAATCATTCATTTTAAGTTGTGGACATAAATACGTTCTAAGACTTGTAAAAGAGTGGTTGTTAGGAATTCTCTTACTGAAACCACACAATTAACCTTTGTTATCAGTTCTAACAGTGATATGCTAAAGGAGAAAATAGATGTTCCAAAGAGTGAAAGAATGGAGAGCATACCCAATCAAGCATTACACCTTTCTGGTTCGCTGCTCGCCCAAAATCTAGAGCCTTGTGACCTGTGATCAGTTCAAGCAACAAGATTCCAAACCCAAACACATCAGTCTTTTCGGATGATTGGCCAGTAGATAGGTATTCTGGAGCAATGTGACCAACAGTGCCACGCACAGCAGTGGTCACATGGGAGTCTCTATGATCCAGAAGCTTAGCTAAACCAAAATCACCAACAACAGCTTCAAAGTCTTCATCAAGCAATATGTTAGCTGCTTTCACATCACGGTGAATAATTTTAGGGTCGCATTGTTCATGCAAGTAAACCAACCCTCTTGCTGTACCTAAAGCTATTCTCTTCCGCCTAGTCCAATCTAATGCCGGCCGGCCATGAATATGATCTGGTACATAAATCCAAAACCAAATCCAAATAAGTTTAAAATGATCTCGAGAAATTGGATTCTAAAATGGTTGGTTAGGAAACCAACTAAACTATAAGTGAGAACTAAGAACAGAAAAAAGGAATAGGTTATCTGTGACTGAATAGTACCTCGGCACAAAAACGCTCTCGTGTTCTAACTAAAGTGGCCAATTATACGCAATCAATAGGTATACAATAATATAAGATTCAAATGATCGTTATTGGCAGTAAATATAAAACAAGGTGAACATTGTACATCCAGTTCTTAGTATACTGATTAGGTAAACAGCAGATTGAAAAGTTCGGATCTAACCTTTTAATCTAGAGGCTACACTTCCATTAGGCATATATGGATAAACGAGGAGCCTTTCATGCTGAGTACTGCAAAAGCCCCAAAGCCGGAGAAGATTTCGGTGGACAGCCAAACTTATCGTCTCAACTTCTGTTTGAAATTGGATCTCACCACCGTCTGCATTATAGTCCTTTAACCTCTTAACAGCCACAACAGACCCATCATTCAAGCAGGCCTTGTAAACTATTCCAAAGCCACCTCTTCCTAGAATGTTCTTTGAGTTGAAATGGTCTGTTGCAGCTCGAAGCTCTTTGAATGAAAACCTTTTTAAATGACCAAGACGCACCTCTGGATCATAATGTTCTGCCAAATAATAAACACACACAAGTGTAAATCGAACATCAGAGAAGAGAACAAATGAAACTCTAGCATGGACGTTATATAGGTACAAGAAAACAACATATGCTTAAATCACATAGGGGGAGTGGATTTATATTGATATTTTGTGTTCAACTATAAAATGCACACAATATGTCAATGTTAACTGCTCCTCTCCCCTTCAAAAAAGGTCATCCTTATATAATGAATTACACAATACATACACCACAAGTTTTATCTTCTAGAATACCGATTACATATTTTGCATAAATTCAAATTAAATTTTTCAACTAAGATTTTCAACAATTTTTCCAAGCTTAGAACTATGATAAATTTTGTTGGTCATGTATGTATATGTTGCAAAAACTCACCATTAGGGTTTAGTCATATTTCATTACATGCATGATAAGTCTTACAGTTGCTTTAATAAACTTAAAGTAGTTGGAAAATAATTAAAACAATCAAGAAACAGTGCAACATGTTGAATGGTCACAAATAGACAAAAGTCCGCTGGAAGCAACATGACACAGTGTTAGGTAGGAGCAGGTCAATTAATTTTGGCAGTGTAACAAGCATGAATTGAAGCGATCATTTAAGATATGAATTCCTTTAAAAAAGTGTCCTTAAACGATTGTGTGCTCCTACAGTGAAACGATGAACAACCAATATTTTATAAATTTTGCCACAAAGTTTACTGATAGAGAAATAGAGATAAAAGGAAATAGAATTATAAAAAGGAAAGTAAGAGGACTAACCATTAACATCAAAGAATATCTGTTGGTTGTGTCTATATCGCCACCAAACAAGAAACCCAACTATAATCACAATGACAAAAGCAGCACCAAAACTTGCACCAAAAGCAAGTACCACATGATGGCTCTTTTTACCAGCGTCTAATTGGCCTAGAAAACCAAATCACCACATCTAAGCATGTCACACATTATTTAGAAGAAATAATAATTTGAAAGTTGAGTTCAAAGATAGATTAATACCTCTTAGTGCATCTGGAGGGAAGGAAAGTGGCTCTGGTAAAACAGAAGAACAGTTGTTTGCTTTTGAACCACAAATTAAAGGGTTACCCACAATCCTGAAGTGAATAATTGGGCAAGAGATAAACTACACTGCCTTATTTTAAACTGAAGTACAGAAATAAAGATGAGGAAATCCAAAATGAACTTACTTTAATGTTCTTGCTGATATTCTAGGCAAGGAACCACTCAGATTGTTGTAGGAGAGGTCCCTATATATATTTAAATCATTACAGTTAACATCTGTCTTTTAGATAGAAATCAAAGCTTTAAATCTGCCCCTGATTTTCTAAGCTAAAACTGAAATATCATTAGGCAAAAATGAAAAATAATGGTGCAACAAGGTAACAAAGACCTACACAAGGGTTAGACCTTCAATGTTGCTAAGAGATTGAGGGCAGGATCCTGTAAGACTGTTATTGTTTAACCTCCTGACATGCACATAAGACAATTTACGTGGAGTTAGAAACACAATCTCATTAGTCTCTGCCAAAGCAAGTATCAAACTCACAATCTCTGTAACAATTAACATCGGTTCTCGGTAGCAATGCTTTTTGTAACTTACAAATAATTCAGGTTCTTGAGGCCTCCCAAAGAACTGGGTATCTCACCACTGAAGGTATTATTGGAAAGATCAAGTGTCTGAAGCTTTTCCAAGTTTCCTATTGCAGCAGGAATCCTGCCAGAAATGGCATTATTCTGAAGCAACCTGCATATGTGTATAATTAATCAAGCATATATGTAATTTCTTTCACTTATACAGCTTATAACTCCGAGGAAGTATAAGTTAGTGAAAGGATAGATTTGATCAATAAGAACTAAAAGAAACTTATACAAACCCAACCAACATACAAGGCAAAAGCAAGATATGAAGAATTGCACTAAAAATAGCAGACTTACACAGATTGTAAATTAGTAAGGTTTCCAATCCCAGGAGATAGTGTACCAGACAAGTTCTGACTAGGCAATCCCCTGATAAGAGAACAAAAAAAAATCTTTTAGATGAAAATCAAACTAGCAAAAGTTGTTTGGTTCTCTTTCTAATCGACGCCTCTTGAAACTTCTTTATCACTCTAGTAATCACTTAAAAGCCAAGCAACTTACAATGTAGAAACAGAACCATCAAGGGAACACATAATCATCCTCCAGCTACATGGATCAACAGAATTCGTATCCCAACTTTCCAGAACATTGTGAGGATCCGTCAACTCATACTTTATGGCCATCAGAGCTTGAACTGTTGAAGGAACAAACAGAAGAGGGGGATAAGAAGTTTCATCAGAAAATCCTCTTGTATCTTCAGCACGCAAATAAAAAGAAAATTGATAAGCCAAGAAAATTAAATAAATAGGCAACTGAAGACCACACCCCAACCTTAGGTATGGGGAAGAAGAAGAAGAAAAAGAATGACCCTATTCAAAAAGAAGAAGAAGAAGAAGAACCTCTCTGCTGCTTTTTTGTTATAGGTAGTTAGCTAGCACTTGAATTCTCAAGGAAAAATAAAACGAAACAAACAAGCACAAAACAGCATCATTGCATCAACCTTAACCACCCCGCTTCCGTGCCAACTAGTTTCCAGCATAGTTAAATTGGCCAATATGCACGACTTTTGTCCCTTAAAAATTCCATTTTACAATCTTTCGCTTCACAGGTTTTACCAAAGATCTCAGGGAACAAAATGAAAATAATAATAATAATAATAATAATAATAATCCAAAAAGAACATTAACCTTCATAGTTTACGCCAGAAGGAGAAAGAGCAGCAGATGAAATCTCCATCAACAGCAGAAGCAGCAGCCCCAATAGCCAGAAAACCAAACTAGTAAGTTCCATACTCTATAATCAGTTCCTTAACTGTGTCTCCCTCACACAATCACTGACCAGTACTCAAAACCACCATAATTAACAACTTGTCTCTCCATTCCCACAAAAGAAGGTCCAATCTATATCACCTTATCCAAACAGAAAAAGCCAGTCTCTGGAATCAGATTCCCACACAAAGCAAACCCACTCTCGCTAAAACAGCAACTTCCCGAAGACCCAATTCAATGAAAATCAAACCAAACAGAACCCAGATGCCAAAATTGCTTTTTCCTTTTTCTGCCACACAGACCAACTGGAAATGGAGAATTTGAATCCAACCAAGAGAAGTAAGCACTGAGAACACCAAAAAGAGCAAAACTTTATTGGTGAATAAAAGAAAAAAGGAAAAACCCAAGTTCAAGGCTGAAATTGTGAGATCCTTGAGATCTGTGAATGCTGGGTTTGGGTTCTATGAGGTGTGGACAGCCCCCACAAATAATTCCATGTGAGTGTGTCGTTGGTTCCCGGTGATGGCACTACCATTATCTTCTTTCTTTTTGCAGTTGCAGAGAATAAAAAGGAGGTGAGAATGGAGCACGCTCACAACCCAACCAAAGAAAGAACCAAACAGAGGACAAAACAAAATGCCAAAGTGGACACAAATGTAGATGCACAACTATACCCAGTGACCAAAAACTTCTTTCAGGAATATAATTAAATAAATGAACTATACTCATTATAATAATGAACATTTTTTTGGTGCATTTTAATTTTGAACAAAAAAGTAGATTGGGGTGGGACGGGCTGTGTGAGAGAGATGAGAGAGAGAGATAAGAATTATGGGAATGGGATGTGGTGATGAAAAAGAAAATATGGTTGCAGGCAGGTAAGTTTTTTTTGGACAGGTCACGTGGTTGGATTGTCTCCTTCTTTGTTTGCTTTTGGCTTGAAAATGTAACTTTTTCAGAATTTGGGAAAAACAAATATCAACCAATGAAACAAATCACATTCTGCATTCTGCAATCTGCAGCTCATGAACTGATGGTCCATTGTGCTGGACTCTGCCAGTAATACACCAATCTGCTTTATTTACATTTGGATTAACTTAATTGTAATGAGATAACTTTATATTGTTAATTATACGTATATTCTAAATTAATATTAATATAAATTTTAGGTAAAATTGTATAATAAATATTACTGTTAGATAAAGTGATACTCACACTGATCTTTTAAACAAAATTTCAGGTTTAAGTTTTTATGTAAATATGTATTCTAGATAGAAATTTTCCCAAACATAATGAACTAAGTTGTCTAATAGAGATTAACTATTTGCAAAATGATAAATATTTTATTCCAATTTTATGGTGCCCAATAACTATGTATAGCAATGAAAAAACAATTATAATAAATATTAAAAAATAAAATAGATCAAAATACTTTTTTTATTGTTACATAAAGGTTTTTATGAAAACAAATATTCCAATAATTTTAAGGTTATCTACAACAACTTTATACACAAGTGACTTACGTGACAATTGTGTTTTTTTTTTAACAAAAAAAAAATTAAGCAGTATCTGCATCTTTCTGCACAAACTTTACAAGCACGTCAATTGATATATTTAATGATATGAATATCTACAAAATGAAACTAAGAGTACACCCAAACCATCATTAAGAGAAAAGAGTTCAAATATATTTTTTTAATCACCTACATTAATAAAATTTAAATTAAAAACTATCCAAAAAAATGTATAAAAAATATATTTATAAATTAGTCACCATCCATAATATTTAAATTTTGATTTTATGTGATAATTAATGTTAATTATTCCTATAAACTAAATTTATCAAATAAGATTATTAAAATAGAAATATAAATTAAATTTCAACTTACTAATTAACTTATAAAATATATTACTAATTTTAAATTAATTAAAATATAAATTATTACATTTAAAAAATCATTAACTAAAATATAAGAATAAATATACAATTAAGTATATGTAAATAATTTTTTTATTTCTAAAATTTATTATAATAATTAGGTAGAAAATAGGTATTCCTAACACAAAATCCTAACTGATTTTACAATCAACTCTGTTTCTCTTTAAATTAAATAAATTGAGAGAATTAATAATTTTAAAGATACATGGTTTTTGAGAGTTTTTTAAAATTTTATTAAATAAATTTTATCATTTAAAATATTATATATATATATAAAACTTCGATAAAGGCTTACGTGTGATTTAGACAAATGATACAAAATATTTCTTATTTGACTTAATATCAATAACTTTGAAACATAGAAAGTGAAATACAACGTGATATTAAAATAATTTAAAAAAAAAATATATATATATATATATATATATATATATATATATATATATATTATGTATATGATTGAGATATTATATTAATATAAATATTATGTATATAATTTTGAGATTCAAAACATGATTTTATTAATATTATATTTTAATTTTCTTTAGATAATTTAATTAAAAAGATAAAAAATAAATTAACTTATTTTAAAATAAAAAATGTACTTAACTTTCTTAATACAAATCACAGATGGCATGGTCTTAATAAAGTAATTTTTATAATTCATGTCTCCTTAATTGTTCCTTTTGTTTAATCGATGGATAAGTGTAGACAAATTAGAAAATTCCACGTCAGTGGATTTTGAAGTTTTGTGATGAGTTTTTAAATCAGTTTATTCTGTGTGACTGGAGCGACAACTGTACCCAACATACATACTCATTGGTTTCACTGGTTAAAAGAGAAAAATATAGAGTAATAAATAAATGAGCGTTCATACTTTCACACTGGGAAATCCAAACATCTCCTCGTTAATATAATAATGAATAAAAAAATTAAATTATTATTATAATAAGTTATGTATTAGATGTTTACAGGAATAATAATGTGAAAGTAACATTTTCCTAAATAAATTTATATATCATGATTAAGAAATTTGAATAATTATTATTTTATCTCTGCTTGTAAATTTTTTATAATTTTGTAAACGGTTAATATATAATATATTTTTATATTGCGTAAATACATACTTTACTCTAAATTAGTAATAGGATGAAAATTAATTTTGTATATCTGTAATTGATCTGGGATTTATCGAATTAAATGAAAAAATAATGAGTTGATTGAAGGGGTAGATTTTTCCCCGTATTAAAAAATTAAAAATAAAAATACAATCCTTATTTTATATTTAAATTTAAATTTTAAAATATTAATATTTTAAAAAATTTATAATATTAATTTTTTCTTATTTGTTTTTAAATTTTTTATATCAATTAATTTATTATATTTTTTTTATTTTTCACTTTTTTATTTTCTTCATATCTCTAATCAATTTATTTATTTTTAATTTTTTTAATCAATTTGATAAATACAAAATTATTTTTTTTATAAATATTTTACATAAATTTAAAAGTAACTAATATTATTTTCTTATAATTTATTTTTATTAAGTTTTATTATATCATATTTTTTAGATTTTATTATTTATCATATATCATATTTTAACTTAATAAAATAATTATATTTTAAATAATTAAAAAAATTAATAATTTAAGTTTTTATTATTTTTAATTAATTAAATAAGAATTAATTTATAAAATATCTTCTTATAAATTATATATTTTATATTTTTAATTTACAATTTAAAAAATAATTTATATATGTAATTAAATATTTGAGTATAATAATAATAATAATATAAGTATTTTATATTTATAAAAAAATAATAATTAAACGTTTTTTAATATATATATATATATATATTTAATAATTATTATAAATTATAAATATTTATTTATGTATAAAAATACATAAAATATTAAAATTAATTTATTATAAATATAATTATTCTTTTAAAACTAATGTAATTTAAGAACGATTAAAACAAAGAAATCCGAAACTTAATACATATGATAAAGAAGACTTAATTTTTACCAAAAAAATATGAAATAGAAGAAAAATCATTAAAAATTTGAAAATGAAGATGATTAAAAAAAGTCGGATCCTGGAAAACCCATCCCCATGCCTTGTGATTAATATGATTTTTAATTAATAAAATTATTTGATCTGAGATGGACCTAATTTTGATATGTTTTTTGCAAGTTTGATACGTAGAATAAAAGAAAAGTGGAAGGGACAAATTATCCATGCATGCATAATCAGAAATCAGAAAACAGAAAACGCATCATAGAGGATGGGGCACACTAATCTTCTTTTCTTACTGCCAATACCACAAAACATTCAAACATAATGTCAATGTTAACGTGTTGCTTTAGTGTTGTTGTGTTGGTGTGAGGAGAAGAGGGCTAACATGCGCCGGGTGGATGCGCAGAAAAAGAAAAGGAAAGAGAAAGATGAACCGAAAGGAACAGTGTAAATTGTGTTAATATTCTTTTGTTGGATAGCGTTAATTTGGAATCTCTACACTGTTCTCGCCGCGACACTCGCCTCATGTTCCTTTTTTATTATTATTAAATAATTACCTCAATAAAATATTGTTTTATTTAATGTAATTTTGATTATTTTTTATGGTCTTGTTATTATAACATTGTAAGTACTTTTCTAAAACATGTATGTATTAATGATGAAATAAAATACTACCAATATAAAAAGACAAATACACTGTTTACAATTTGAAAACTTTGCTTCTAGACTAAAAATACCCAAAAATATATTTTTTTATATGTAATTTATTATTCTCCGATTATGTATGCATATAAAGGTGAAATATTTGTTTGTCCCTTTAAAAGGCACAGCAGTTTAATATTAATGTTAGTATTTTTTTAATAAAAAAACGTGGTACTAGCTCACTAAACTCGAAGTGATTAATTTATTTAAGAAAATCCTAATTAATGAAGTGGCCAATAGTAGTTTATAAACCCAACTCCAAGGGTATTTTTGTCGCATTGGAAAAGCTGAATATTCCTTGTGTACTTACTATATTAAGTTAGTCTTAAGTACTTTTATTTTTAATTTATTTACTAATCTTTTATTTAATCAAGTGGAGCATGGTGGAGACAAGATTGTGAAACACGAATAGGTTATGGCTTTGGGAATTGAAGAGTGAACAATTCCTAGTTGCATATTAAATGCTATTTGGGATGAACAGCATAACAATGATAAATGTGTATGTGGAAGTGAGACCAATCATAGTCACACCACATTTATTACATGACTACATATTCATCACATTCTACAAAATAATATTTTTCTTATGTTGGTAAAATTTAATTTCAATATTCTCCAAGGTTTCAAATGCATCATAATTTTTTCCACCCCTTTAAATTTCATAATATTTATATCAGTACCCTAATTTAGATTAGTTCAAATAGTCGTGTTGCTTAGATTTTGAACTTTAACGTGATCTTAACTAAATATAAAATTTAATTATAATATATATATATATATATATATATATTAATTTTGGTTTATTTAATTTTTTATTGATTTCTCGTTATTAAATTAAAAATCGAACCAAACTAATTGATTTTAGAATTTTTCAATCCAAAAAATTAAAAATAATTTATTTTCAATATTCATAAATAGTAATGAGATTGATATTATTATAAGTAAATATAAAGTTTTATTTGAGTAGCAAGTAATAAATTTTATACATTGTAGAAATAAAACTCAAAAAGTGAGGCGAAGGATGAAGGCATGGAAATGAAATGGAAGGCTGAATGTGACGGTGGTCCAAAGGGATGAGAAATGACCAGCTTTGGCATTAGTTCCCCTTCCATAATAATGCATCATGCAAGAATTCAAAGATCTCATTCTCTCTTTCAAATTGGTTTACCCTTTTTCAGTTGATTCTTCCAACTAAATTCATCACTTTTTGCTCCATTGTCCCAATTGGGTTTGACCTTTCCCACTTCATTTGTTGAAGCCTTCAAATCAATCCACCAACCACTCCACCACTACCTCATAACACACTTCTTTTGTTTCTTTTGGGATGTTGTTCCCTCCTAACCTCTCTACCTTAGAGAATTGTTTAATCTTCTTCTTTTCCCCATTACTTTCAACCTTCTCATCATTCATTCACTCCATTCAAAGTTTGGATCAAATCTTGTTCCCTATGTCAATACCACGTATAATACTAGAAGAAAAGAAAATGGGTGTTCATAACATTGATATATATTTGATATTTTATAGAACAACACTCCTCCTAACTCTCTCTGTCTGTATATATATTATAGAAATTTTTTTAGTGAAATGATATTTTGAACATTGAGTTTTTATAGTTTTCAAGGAAATTACTTGAGTATTTATTAAATATATAAAAATTGTGAAAATAAATACTCAATAATATTAAACTAGACTAAAGAAAACAAGATCAATTTAGACATTTAAAATGAAGTTCAATATTGAGGAAAACATATTTTTTAAGTTTTTATTTATTTATTTATTTTGATGAAGATGAAATCAAACTGCAATAGTATATGTTTAATTTAAATGCAAAATCTAAAATCAGGTCTGTTTTCTTATCAAATCAGACTTAGTTAATTCACGTGATCTAACTATTAACGGAGCAAAATGATCGTATAATATGGAAAATTTTAACTTTTAAATTTTTATAATTAAAAAGGTGTACGAATCTTTTTTTATAGGTTAAATAAATGAATAAATAAAACCCACAAAGAGACTTTGGATAATGTAGTAAACCTTTTCTTTGAAGCATCGAGCTTTAAAAAGGCCTTCTACTGAAATACTATAAAACACACACGGGGTTTCTTATTGGATGGGCCTAAGACTAATGGACTCCTTTTGTGTGACCCTCAGGCCTCAACCGTTCACGCATCATTACTAGTAATTAGTTCCTTTCAATTAGTAGTATTTTAGCTCGATAAATAAATATTTATGAATAAATTTCATAATAAAAATATTTTTAAATAAAAAATTTATTTTATATTTATCATAAAAATTTAAAATTTTAATATAAGATTATTATAAGTTGATTGTTTCTTTTTGCTTTCTTAAAAATTGAAGTAGATAAAAAAAATATGATAGCTTGAAATAAAATACATTTAAAATTATAAAATAAATAAATAAATATCAAAAGCAGAATAATTTGAAAGATAGTTATTCAAAAGATTGACTCAATCATTTATTACATAACGCTTAAAATTCTTAAAATTTAAGATTTTAATATAATCTTACAAAATTAATCTAATAAGATTAGTGTTATACTCACTTATATATTATTATCATATTTCTAGTTAACATAATATTTTCATCATAGAAAAAGATTTTTTATTATATATCTTGAATAAAAATAAATTATCAATAATTTATCACTGCTATAATTGATTTTAATACTATTTTAATATAAATTATAAGATATATAAGTTAATCTTATAAAACTAGTTCCATAAGATAAGGATTGTAATAATATATATTTATATATTTAATAGATGTGAAATTTTATGTGTTCGTATATATATATATATATATATATATATATATATATATATATATATATATATATATATATATATATATATATATATATATATATATAATCAATGGAAGAATTTTGATTAGCCATTAACAAGTAATCTTAATGTGGATAAATTTGGTAAGGGATGCGAAAATAGTACTTTAAGATCCATTACGTGTCCAAGGTCTCTTGTTCTTCTTGGCATCTATTATTTTAATACAAATCTTTTTAGTTCTTAAGAAGAAACAATTTGATAAGGTTTAATTGTTTGAAATGAATTTTTAGTTCCGTGTATTTATCAACATATTAAACTCGTAAAAATAACTAATATTTATTTCATATTTCCTTTTTTTAGAATAGAGAGTTTTCTATTATACAAATTTTTTTCTATTATAAAATACAAGAAAATTGGATTTGATACTAAACATAAAATAGATATCTATCTATATAGATACATATCTAAAAAAAATTTAAAATATGGAAAAGTTACTTTAAGGGAGACTCATAGAATGACAGAGACAAATAGAGCTTTTGCACATTTTCGTTAATCCATGAACAGGATCTATATAGACACGTTGACCCATGAATCCATACATCTCAATCGAAAAAGAATTGAAATTGATGAATATATCTCTCGAAACAAACAAAACATAAATCATAGATCAATTAAGCCCTCTCGGGGACTTGCTTAAGAATGAGAAAGATGAGTCTTATGTAAATACACGTAATAAGGTTTGGTCCTGTTCATGGGGATTTTATAACTATTCCATTCCAAAAAGATAAAAAAAATTCAAAACAATTAGGATTTTTTGGAGATTGAATACAGTTACTAATTCAAGATCTGACATGTACAGAATGAAAACTTCATTCTTCATTCTACAAAAATATTTATGAAAGTCTTTCACTTGCTTCTCTTCGATGGAAGTTTTATATGAAAGTCTTTCATTTGCTTCTCTTCGATGGAAGTTTTATTTTCCCAAAATGTATCCTAATTTTTGGCCTAATTCTTCTTCTGATGATTGATTCAACCTCTGATCAAAAAAATATATTTTGGTTCTATTTTATCTCTTCAACAAGTTTAGTAACGAGCATAACGATCCTATTGTTCCAATGGAGAGAAGAACCTATGATTGTCTTTTCGAGAAATTTCTAAAAACAATTTCTTATTTTACTATGTTCAACTCTATGTATTCCTCTATCCGTAGAGTACATTGAATGTACAAAAATGGCTATAACAGAGTTTCTTTTATTCATATTAACAACTACTCTAGAAGGAATGTGTTTTATGTGGTGCTAACGATTTAATAACTATCTTTGCAGCATTGAGACTAAGAGAAATATATAAATCAATGTTTCCATAGATTTAATTGTGGTTTACTATATATGTAGCTTTCATACTTGTTTATTGGGACTCATTTCTAAAATAAAAAAGAAAAAGAGTAAAAAAGAGCAAATACAATGATTCAAATCAAGATTTATCTAGTTCTTTATGTGAAATTCAATATCATACAAAAAGTAGCAAAAAACAAAAGAATGTTATCCTACTTGTCTTCTTATTGTTGGATCTCCAAGTTTTTGGAATGTTCCAAATTCTACTTGAGCATCTAAATCTGGGTCGATATCAACAAAAACATCTCTGAATAAAGTTATAGCACCATGCCAAATGTGCCTAAAAAAGAATAGCAGAGCAAATGAAACATGCCCAAAAGTAAACCAACCTCTTAGACTACTACGAAAAACACCATCTGATTTCAATTTTAATTATACCAAATATTAATAAATAAGAGAAAAAGTAGGCATGATAAGGGTGTGGGGATTCTTTCCTGAATCTACTCTCGACTTTTTAAATTGTTCGGACCTCATCTACGTCAAAGTTATAAATGAAATTTTCATCCCTATCTACATTGGATTCTCGATTTCTTGTCATCAACTTGTTTTCGTTCTACATTATTTATAAAAAAAGAATTATACTTATAATAAACTAACTTTAATATTTTTTATACATAAAAAATATTTATAATTTAAAATTATTATTAATAAAATATGTACTTTAATTTATTATATTAAATTAAAACATGTATGTAAAAGAAATATTTAATATTTTTTTCTTCATACACATATATAATATTTATATTTATAATAATATTATTATTATATTTTATTATATATAAGATAATATTTTTAAGTTATCATTTAAAAATATTAATAAATATGAAATATATAATATATAAAAAAATTGAATAAGTTAATTTTTATTTAATTTCAAAATAATAAAAGTTATATTTATCAATTTTTTTAATATTTTTAATATCAAGATAAAATTTGATATATGACAATTATGAATAATTAAATTCAAAAAATATGATATAATAAAATCTAATAAAGATAAATTAAAAAATAATATTAGTTAGTAGTAAAATTAATGTAAAATATTTTAAAATATATATATATATATAAAGAAGAAAATTAATTTTATATTTGTTAAATTGATTGAATATATTGAAAATAAAAGAGAATAATGTAATAAATTGATTAATTTAAAATATTAAAAAAATATAAGAGTGAAAAATAAGTAAAAAAATATAAAATTGGTAAAATATAAAAAAATGATATTATATATAATATAAAAAATTAATATTTTAATATTTAAATTTAAATATAAAATTGAAATGAAAAAAAAAAAAATCAGAATAGAGTTTATATTATCATCTCCATCCTGTGCATGTCTCCACATTTTTACTCAATTTTTTTCTATTTAATAAGAACGTATGGATCTCCACGAGTTTAATTGACCAACTTAAAGAAAAAAAATATTAAAAATATGTTGAGTTATTGAATATTCCACCCACCATACATCTTCCGGTTATATGTGGATGAAAATTTGTTTTGATTGGGATAGTAGACATTTTGTTTATCATTATTATTAAGAAAAGTGAAGTAAAGTTTCCTCTCACCTGTTAAGTCTCGCATGATCGATCGAACAAAAACCCCGGTGGATGGTTTTTTGGGGACCTACTTACCAAATATAAACACAACACATAACATTCCAATACCAATCCACACAAAATTGTGGGCCTAGTAAACATTCTACTAGTATTAATTTTTCATTCTTTTTTTTTTATTTTTTATTGCTTTGTCAGACAATTCAAGTTTGAAATTTCAAAAAATATGACATACTAACGTATTTCATTTCCTTTTTATTAAATTTTAAAAAATAATTCATACTCACGTTTTGAGTTTTGAGTAGATTTTATATTTCATTTTAACGAAGAAAAACGAAGTTGGGAGTACGTACCAATTAAATGATTAAAAAAATATAAAAGTTATTAAAAAAGAACAATGAAGTTTTTAAACATTAGATCTTATAAAAAAATATTGCTAAAAATATAGATCTTAATCAAAAGTACACGAACTTTGACTTGCAGGTTGACTTGAAAAGATCTACAATTTGTGGGTCTATGCATATTTACTCATGTGACACGTTAAGTGAGATTGTGAGTTTGAAAAAGAAAAAAGAAAAATATTAAACAAATTTTTATGTTTTTAATTATTTCGGAATATAAAATAAATAAATTATCAAAAAAATTACAAAATTACCCGCGTATTAACCTGTTTAATTGCTAACCTTATCAAATAATATTGAGTTGATTATATATTTTATAATTCAATTATCATTATTGCATAAAATTTATCATTTTATTTTTGTTTGCGTATTTTAATATATATATATATATATATATATATATATATATATATATTAATTTAAGCCGACGACACTAATCTATAATTCTCATAAAAAAAAAAAAAAACTCACTCTCTTGTCTGAATTTGTATTTGTTTTCTTTTTATTTTAATATTTTAATTGGCAAGAAGAATTTATAGAGTTCAAGAAGTAGTTGAGATTTTTGTTTTCATTTTCTCTTAATTGAGTGTACCAAACAACTAACAATAGTTTTTTTTTCATTTACTCAACCTTGACTTGGTGTATCCATAAAAGACATTGTTTTCTTTCTTTAAAATTAGTTTAATTTAGAGATAAAATAAAATGTTGTAATAGATTTAACTGAGTTTTTTTATATATTTTTTTAATTAATTATGTAACATTATATTTATAAAATAACTATGAATTATTTTATTTTATATTTTCTCTTCCTTTATTGGTATTTCCATTAAAGAGTTAAAATGATTTATTCCGATTCCTAATAATTGTAAAGGAAAATTTGGGTGGATGTGTTTTCCTGACCAAAGATAAGACTTCACATTTGTGTGGATCTCTCTAGTAGACAAATTCAAATAGACTTTGTATACAACTTTTTTTTTTAATGTATAAATTAAACCGATTATTTAACGATGGATTAAATATATTTTTTTATTGTTTTATTCTTTATTATCTATTTAAACTTTGAAAATGTAACAAGCTAAAATTATATATTTTTAAAAAATTATTACTTATTAAATTATTACATAAAAAATTTATATAATAACTCACAAATTCAACTTAAAATTTTCACTAAAAAAAGGAAGGAAATAATTTTTTCACTCATGAGAAGTATAATAATTCAGTTCTACAGTTATCCAGAATAGTTGAAAAATATCACACATCAAAAGTCATCACTAATGTTTTACATATAATTACATAACATAAAATAACTCCTTCAAATTTAGGAGGTCTCTACTTCATTTCTCAAATCACTGCGTCTTACTATCACCTGCATAAGATTTGGAATATGCTCCTGTGTATAACATGATCATAGTAGGATCCTAAAAGATCAAGCACACAACAAAAACAAGGGAAAACTACCATTTGATTAAACATGTAGATCAGTGTAACATTGCAAACGATATTTATTCAATCACAAACATCCTAACGCTAGACTCACCGGAGATTTTAGCATCCTACAATCACAATCACACAAAAAGATTGACACTTTTCAGAAACTATATGAAATTCAGACCAGTAAGGCAGACACTTGATGATGACTATTTGGGGTCCCAGACCCTTAAATTTTTATGGCCTCAGGCCTATAGTATCATTTTTCAACCTCTCATTAGAGCAACACACGCATAAGATTGACGCTATGTTATGTCTCCATCAACTTCCCACCACAGATGTCTTCGTCTATATGACTAAGAACATCTTGGAAGTCTAGATACCCTATTACGTCTATCTATAATTCCTTACACACTATTTTACACAGTACATCAAGTCTATCATTCAACAACTATCATAGTTTTCCTTTGGGTCTTACAGCCTGTATTATCATATTATCGGGCCTTAGTGCCCTTCACATTTCATTATTAACTCATATTCAACATAGAATAGTCAAAGGATGCAACATAACATCAATAAACCAACTGTGGGTGATCTGTCAATGTAATCAATTACAACTGTATGGTAATCGATTACCAGAGAGAAATTGGATTTTTAATTCCCTCGTCAGTAATTGATTACTATATCATTGTAATCGATTACACCCTACAGAATTAGATTATGCAGATGCAGTTGTTCAGCAGTACAACTCAGAATTTCCAGAATCAAACCAATATTATGCAGTTCCCAATGTCCAGCCTAACATTAAAATTCTCAATTCCTATGTAATCACAATTCACTTAAAACGGTACATCTTTTCTCCTTCAAACCAATACAGACCAACCATACAGTTTAGAAACTCAATGATACAAAGATATCTATTTCAGTCAATCTATTTCAAAACATTTTATACAACAAGGTTTTTCACAAGTGCTCACAATATCATATCACATACAGCACTTATATATCACAAGCATATTCATTATTCACTTAATTTAATTTTTCATCAATACAATATAGCCAATAAGGAAAATCAGTTATTATACTCACTCAATCATATACTCTACTAAATCAGTTTTAAGCACTATCCAACTAGCTTATCAAGACAACACCAACTCTTAATTTATATCTAGAACAACAAAAGTTCATGGTTCACTTCAAATTCTAAAATCTCCACTCACCATCAATGCAAGGATTAACACAACCTAAAGTTTCAGCACAAGTAAAAATCAAAGAAGCTTCCATTGTCTGTAGGTGATGTTACACGTCAACCTAACTTCAACAAAGTATTAGAAACGTCAAAACACTTAAAGAGTATCGTTCTTCCCCAATTTGGAAAACCTTAAAAACGAGATTGAAGCAAGAAATAGAATTAACCTCGAGAACATGAAATTGGAGAGTGACAGAGTAAGAGAAAATCTTTTAATTCCACAAATAATTCCTTAAATTATCAAAACCCCAAATTTTAACTCGCAAAAACTCTAAAGTTCAAACTTACCAAAACGAAATTCTAATCAGTGGGTCTTTTGTTGTTCTCCACCGTGAGCACAATGACGGCCTCAGATTCTTGATCGAGGAAGAAGAAGGTCCTGATCTGTAAGAGAGAAGGTGGAAGTGAGCTATGGAGAGGGGGAGGTTTTTTTTTTTTTTTTTCACGAAAGAGAAGGGAAACTGATCTTCTCTCTCTTCCTCTTTTTAATTTTATTCTTTTAATTAAAGTATATTACAATACTCTCCAATAAATTTAAAAATTTCGTCCTCGAAAATCATACTTACCAAGTAAACAGTTGCAGATAGTTCTTCTGCATCTCCTCCTCTAGTTCCCATGTGCAGTCACTCGGCTTGGTATTCCAGACCACCTTGACCATTCTGATCGTTTTACCTTTAAGTTGCCTGAGTTGTGAGTCCTCTACTCTCAATGGAGTGGCTTCAAAAGACAGATCTTCTCTCACTTGGATTTCATCAGCTTCCAAAATGTGGCTCGGGTCAGACACGTATTTCCATAATTGAGATACGTGGAATACAGGGTGCAGCCTTACCAAGGGAGGGGGAAGGGCAATCTTATAAGCTACTGGTCCAATACGCCTGATAATCTGGTAAGGTCCAATAAATTTTGGGGTTAGCTTCTTGGGTTTTATGACTCTCCCAACTCCAGTCATAGGTATCACTCTAAGAAAAACATGATCACCAACTAAGAACTCCAAGGGTCTCCTCCTCCTGTCTGCATAAGACTTTTGGCGGCTCTATGCAATATTCATTCTGCTCTGTACTAACCTCACTTTATCTGTAGTCTGTTGCACTAACTCTGGCCCAACCAGAAATTTCTCACCATCCTGATACTAACACAAGGGGGTCCTACACTTCCTCCTGTACAAAACCTCCAAGGGTGTCATTCTAATACTGACATGGAAATTGTTATTGTATGTGAATTCTGCTAAGGGAAGTACTTCGTCTCAAGGCCCCATATGATCAAACACACAAACCCTCAATATATTTTCTAGGGTTTGGATGATTCTCTCAAAATGTTCGTCTGTCTAGAGATGGTAGGCGATACTAAGCCTCAGTCTGGTTCCTAATGCTGCTTGTAAGGCCTACCAAAACCGTGAAGTAAACCTTGTGTCTCTGTCTGACACAATGCTGGAGGGTACCCTGTGTAACCTCACCACTTCCTTGATGTACAACTGAGCCAATTTGTCCATAGACATTCTTAGATTGACCGGCAGGAAATGAGCACACTTAGTCAATCTGTCTACAATGACCCAGATGGAGTCATGTCCTCTAACCGTCCTGGGTAGGTGGGTAATAAAATCCATAGATATGTTGTCCCACTTCCACTCAGGTAACTCTAGTGGATGTAACATTCAACCCAGTCTCTGATACTCTACCTTGGCCTTCTGACATGTTAAGCAGCTAGTAACATACTGGGTTATATCCTGCTTCATCCTAGGTCACCAGAAGGTCTCCTTCAAATTTTGGTACATCTTAGTCACTCTAGAGTGTATACTTAACTTGCTTTTGTGTCATTCCTCCAGAATTGTTCCTCTCAACTCATCTCCTGCAGGAACACAAACTTTGTCCTTGATCCTAAGCACACCATCTATTCCCAAAACAAACTCTTTTGTTTTTTCTGTACCCAAAGAGTTTCTAATATGCACAAGGCTAGGATCCTTCATCTAACCTTCTTTAATGATTTCCAAGAAGTCACTAGTGATAGTCATCACCCCATAGCTGATACTAACTGGTGAAATTTCAAAGCTGAGATTTAGATCTCTGAACCTCTCTATCAATTCCAATTCCTTAATCATCAGTGCAGACATTTCAATCACCTTTCTACTGAGAGCATCTGCCACTACATTGACCTTTCCTGAATGATACATCAACTGGAATTCATAGTCTTTGATGAATTCCATCTATCTCCTCTGCCTCATGTTCAACTCTTTCTGATCAAATAGATATTTCAACTCTTATGGTCACTGAATACCTCAAATCTAGCTCCATATAGGTTGTGCCTCCAGATTTTTAAAGCAAACACCACAACTGCTAGCTCCAAGTCGTGTGTAGGATAATTCTTCTCATGGTTCTTCAGTTGTTTGGAAGCATAAGTCACTACCTTTTTATCCTGCATCAAAACACACTCTAACCCCTGACTGGATGTATAACCGAAAATCTCAAATAGTTTGCTTGAATCAGGAATAGTTAGTATGGGCGAGCTGGTCAACCTTTGTTTGAGTTCTGGAAAACTCTTATCACACTGATCTGTCCAACACAAAGGGGTGGTTTTTCCTTGTTAACCGGGTTAGAGGAGTTACCACTCTGGAAAAACCTTCAATGAACCTCCTGTAATAGTCGGTCAGTCGCACAAAACTTGTAACTTTGGACACTAACTTGGGGCGTTCCCAGTCCATAACTGCTTCTACCTTGGCAGGATTCACTATTATCCCCTAAGCAGACACCACGTGCCCCAAGAATTTGATGTCTTCCATCCAAAACTTACATTTGGACAACTTATCATACAACTGTCTCTCCCTCAAGATCTCCAACACTATTCTCAAATGATGTTCATGCGAGCATGAGTAGATAAGTATGTCATCAATGAAGACGACGACAAACTTGTCCAAAAAGGGATGGAAGATCTTATTCATGTAGTCCATAAAGATGGTTGGCGCATTCGTCACTCCAAACGGCATGACCACGAACTTAAAATGGCCATATCTGGACCTAAAGGCAATTTTCAGAATATCTCTCTTTTTCTCCAAAATCTGATGATACCCCGACCTCAGGTCGATCTTAGAGAATACTACTGCCCCGTGCAACTGATCCAATAGGTCATTTATCCGAGGGAGAGGATATTTATTTTTTACTGTAAGCTTGTTCAACTGCTTATAGTCAATGCACAGTCTGTAACCCCTATCTTTCTTCTTAACAAGCAGCACTGGTGCTCCCCAAGGGGACACACTGGGTCTGATCAATTTCTTATCCAACAGCCCCTCAATATGCTTCTTTAGCTCAGCCAATTCAGTTGGAGTCATCCTGTAAGGCACCATAGACACTGGTCCTACTCCAAGTATAAGGTCTATGGAGAACTCGACCTCCCTCTTAGGAGATAACCCCGACACTTCATCTGAGAATGCATCAACATATTCATTCACTGCTGGAACTTCTGATCCAACATCTCCACCTGGTTGTCTCATATGAGTTAGGATAGCATAACACTGGGCTCCCTCTTGGATCTCCTTCCAAGCTTGGGAGATAAACAACATCTCAAAATCCTCCGACTCGGGAAACAACAATCTCTTATGCCCACAATCAATCAAAACCTTGTTCTGGACTAGTCAGTCCATACCTAGGATCACATCTAGGTCTTTGAGGGGCAAGCAGATCAAATTCACTCTAAATCTGCGACCTTCTACCACTAAGGGGCATCCATAACAAGCTTTGGATGCAACCACCAAATCAGCCGCTGGTGTAGACACGAACAACTCACAGGTAAGGTCCCTAACAAGCAAATCTAGTCTCTCAACACAATCAAGCGACACAAAGGAGTGTGTTGCTCCCGAATCATACAAAACTTTCAATCTGCGATCAAAGAGGAAACACAAACCTTGGACTAGGTAATTGGACTTCTCGGCTTCTGCTCCCTTGATGGTGAAGACTCTGTTGGCTGCTCTCGGTCTGATCTCTCCCGTCTGCTGGCTCCCAGATGGAGCTACTGATAAATCCTCTCTACAATCTCTGGCAAAATGCCCCAACTTCTGCCACCTGTAACATTTAATAGGACCTCGGGTCTGCTGATACTGGAAAGAAGGTAAGTTCCTCCCTCTAAACTAGTCCCACCTGACTGGTGAGAAGTAGGAGCATATTCTCTTCAGGGCGGACATATGGGGTCCTCTTCTCCGACCATCAGTCTCTCTGTAGTCTTAGCCCTCTCAACCAAAACAGGAAAGTCGACCACAAACATTGGCACCATAAACTCCTACAGTTCCTGTCTCAGACCCTCCTCAAATTTGCTCTAGCTTCAGAAATTTCGCCTCCTTAGCAAATCGTGCACTGCGTGGGAAATACTTTCCCATGAACTTCTCTCTGAAGCTTTCCCAACTGCTAATTGTTGCATGGTAGCAGCTATTACTTTAATGACTCTTAGTATCTGGCTCACCTCAAACTAGGGCTGAGGCTGAAGATGGGGAGGTGGTCTAGGAGTCATCCTAGACATCAGAAGAAATTTTTGATACCATTTAACGCCCAGCCGCTTATACGGAATTGTTGTATCCCCACGATTTTCCAATATGCTTTGTCCTCACTCACACACTTTTTGAAAACTCCCCAGAAGGTCACCCATCTCACAATTTCTCCAAGTAAAGCACACTTAACTATGAAGTTCTTATGTGATAGGCCACCAAAAAGTAAATGCATTTTGTTGGTATAGGTAGTACTAATCAATTCTCTTAAGCTATTCTTCAACTATATAGTCTCGTACCTATACAACATTTGGATCCCTCTATTTCGGGTGTGTTTCAGTTCATTCATATGACCCTTCCGCTAGAAGTTTGTCAAGAGCCGCTCATTGTCCATGCCTCATTACATCGACGATCACTCCCCGCCTTGTCAGCGCCCAGGATGTCACATGTCCACTAGCTTCCGCTTGGTTCATCCCCGAACCACACCGTACTAGGAGAAGTTTTGGCTCTAATACCAATTTGTAATAATTCGCAAATTCAACTTAAAATTTTTACTAAAGAAAGGAAGAAAATAAATAATTTTTTCACCTATGAGAGGTATAATAGTTCAGTTTACAATTATCCAGAATAGTTGAAAATCATCACACATCAAAAGTCATAATCACACTAATGTTTTACACATAATTACATAACATAAAATAACTCCTTCAAATTTAAGAGGTCTCTACTCCATTTATCAAAGGAGAAGGGAAATTGGTTTTCTTTCTCTTACTCTTTTTAATTTTTTTCTTTTAATTAAAGTATATTACAATTTATGTCAAATATTTTTTTTCCAGTATATTGATTATCATTTAGCTCAACCTATACAGCATATGCAAACTATGAGCGTGTAATTTTTATTATTTCGGCGTTTTCATTTTGTAAAATTGAAATTCCTGTTTATTTTAAATTATTAGTTTAAATTATCTCTGGTTATGTATGACATGTCCCATTTCATTCTCCTGCTTCCTTAAAATTGAAAACGCTCATTATTTATTGCTTAAGTGACACGTATGAATGCGAAATATTTAGTAAAAATTTTCATTTTTTTTCAATAAAAACATCCGAGCAACTAATTTAACAAGATATATTCTTCTACTTATTTTTTAGGAATAAGTAATTTTCTAATTTTTATACATTTTAATTATTTTAATCTTTATAGTTTTAAATCAATTATTTTTAATTATCCAACTTTTGAAAATATATTTTTACTTTTACTCTTATGTATGTTGCATAAAGAGAAAATAAATAGTGTTAAAGAAAATAAGTGGAAAAGGAAATAAAATATATATGTATTTTTTTGTTTAAGAAATAAAGAAAATCAACGTCTGAGATTATTTTGTTTAAAGTAAATAATATTGATTATAATAATAATTATTATTTTTATTATTATTTAAAATAATATTTTTATTTTTATTTATTTATTTATTTATTATTATTATTATTATAAATATCATTAGTTATTTATTTCTATATTATATAGAAGGGAAATTTGATTTTTGAGATTATTTTAAAAAGTTACTATTTATTGATTTCATTATTTTTAATATTCCTACTTTACCAGTAATATTATTATTTTGTTATAATCATTACAATAAAAGGATAAAAAAACTTATAAAAAATATTAACTTATAAGTGAGATGGTAGATTATAATAAATTTAAAAATCATTCAATAAAAAAAATCTTTAAGGTTTATATTTTTAATAGATTATTCACACATGATGCTAACAAGAGCATTACAACAGTTGGCAAAATATGAACAAAGGTCGGACAACAACTATGTAAACTCCAAATTAAACTTACAAACTTGGAAAAAGAAAAAAAAAACATAGAAACACACATTCTCCTCATTTTTATTTTTTTTCATTTGGATTCTCCTTTGGACATGTTTGTTTGTGCTTAGAAGCAACTCAAGGCACAACAACTAAAAACCAAAAGAAACTGTAGTGGTTAGGGTATGGTTGCAGTTAGGGATTCTAACAAACTTCATTAAAGTGTGATTGGAAAAGGAATGGAGGGAATAAAACAAGAGAAAACAAAAAAGTAAATAAGAGGAAAATCTCTCACTGTAAGGAGAGAAAAACAAGTTCAAAGAGAGGAAAACAAACATTTCAATCCACGTCAGATTATCCTCAGCATCATTCTTCCCACGTTACTCTCTTCTTTTCAGTAATTCTCACCATATTTCAGATTCCCTTCCTCGTTCAGCTTTTACAGTAACACACTTTTTTCTACTTAAATAATTTAACAAAAATACTTCTTAAAATATTTACAGCATTGTCTGCCAACAAAAAAAGAAAATGATATTCCCAATTTCCAAACCCAAAAGCAAAAACTTTTTTTTTTTAAAGAACACCACCACTTAATACAATAACGAAGCTTTTCAGCCCATTCTCACACGTGTTTCATGTAAAATGTCCAATTCTCCGACATCGCCGCCCGCTGCAGATCCTCCATGCACAGGTTGCCGCCGCAAACCACCATCCTCGTACCGTGGTTCACGGCGGCGTTTTTTACACTCCTCCACTCGCACCCAACGCCGTTCAATACCTCACACACCACCAATTCCTCCGCTACGGAAGTGTTCCTCACGTAAGCAAAATTCCCAATCCATGTCACCTCCACCGAACCTAACTCCGAACCATCCATCACCTTCCGAATCATCTCCTTTGGCATCTCCCCCACTTCCACCATCCCCGAACCTAATCCCCCCCGAACCTCCCACAGCTTCACTCCTCTCACGTTGCCAAATTCCCCCACCACCCCGGCCACCATCAACCGCTCCCCTAAGATTCCGGTGACGCAGTGAAAAACACTCTCATCAGGTCTCAAATCAAAGGGTCCCTTCCACTTTTTCATCACAGTATCGAACGAGTACGTCACTCCGGAGTGTTTCTCCGTCACGTGCATAACCTCTCCGGTGACTGCCACTGACAGCCACAACGACGCCGTGGAGCCCTTCAGCAGCGCCGGCATGGAAGGGCACGTCTCCCAAACGCGGCTTTCCGCGTCGTACATCTCTACCGCGAGCGGGTCGTCCTCGAACTCGCACGCGCCGCCAGCCACCACGACGCGCGAGCCCACACGAGCCACGACGGGGTCGGTGCGCCACACACGCGGGGGTGGCGCGTGGTGCCAGTGGAGGTGCAGCGCATCGAGGGAGAAGGTGAACTCGGCGGGGGTGAGCGTGTAGAGCAGCGTGGAGTGAGAGGAGCGCACCGGAGAGGCTTGCGGACGAGTACAGTCTTTTATCTCGAGCCACACGTGGGAGCGAGGGTCGTAAGCGTGCAGAGTTGTCACGTGCGAGGCGCGTGGGCTCTGGGTGAGGACGATGAGCCAGGGCTTGATGGGTCGGAGATGAGCGAGGGAGGAGGAGACCGCACGCTTCCAGGAGTTTGACACGTGATATACTGGCACGAGGTGGATTAGTGGCACGTGCGAGAATATTGCCTCTAGGATATCGCCATGGATGGGTGCTTCTTCTGCTGCAGCCATTGGTACTGTCATCACAAAGAATAATTTTAAGGCCTGTTTGTTTGTGCGTCTGCTTATGAGTCTCCGTGGGTTCGCGTTTTTTCACAGTGAGTGGGAAAAAGGACTTCAAGGGATTTATATACTGAGTGGAAAAAGATAATGCCAAACAGAAATCCTGTGTATCCAATGGATGTGTGCCACCTCATTTATTGTCACGACGTGATTCGGTGAAGAATGGGATCCTTTGTCACAATATAGAGCCTAGAAAGGAAAATAAATTATATAAAAATAGAGAAATCGAATAAAAAATAAAGTAGAAGTGTTAAGTTTAAAAATAGAGAAAATATAGACTAAACACGTGACTAATAAAAACACTTTTTTTGTCTTTTTCTCCTTTATTTTTGTTTTGAAATAAAATAAAATACGATTAAAACAGAAATGTTCAACATCTTATGGATTTATAAATCGAAAATATTGATGAAAAATATTACATAATTATTTATGTAATTACAAATTTATTATTATATTGAATTAATTATCTATTTGTTTTCATTATTTAAATATATTATTATTACTCATAAATTTGTTATTAATAATAAAATTATTGTTAAAATATTGATATATGATACATTATATTAAAAAAATAAAATATATTATAATTTGAAAAATATATCAAAAATATTTTATTCATAATCACTAAATTTACATCTCTTTTTATGCTCTTTAAAAAAATATTAATAATCATAATTTTTAAATTTAATTTTTCATGATTAAAATAGTATTAATTGTCCCACTCATTGAAAATTAAATTAATAAGGTCATTAATTTAATATTTTTTATTTATTTAAATAAAAATAATATTTTTTTCAATTAAACCTTATTAAAATAGTTGCTTAAAAGGGTCTTAAAATTCGTATTTTTCTATATAGAGTTTTTTTTTTTTAATCTTTCATCAACTGTAATGATACTATTTAATGATGCTATTTAAGTAATTGTAATGTTTGTGTATATATCTTTGTTGTTTTTGTTAATAATTACCTAAACAATACAAATTTTTAAATATATTTATAAAAGAAAAATATTTTGTTTTACATTAAAATCTAAAATTATCATTATTTGTGCATAGATATTAATTATTCTGTTGTTAAATTTTTAATTAACTCATTAATTTTGACTTAATATATAAATATTTAGAAAATAATACTACTTTAAATAGAAAAATAACTTAATTTTTAAGAAGGATAATTAAATTATACATAAAACAAAACATAAATATAAGTAAATATGGTAATAATAGATATGTTACTAATTATTAATCTAGAATAATCTTAATCCATGGGTGAATAGAAAATACCTGAAAAGTTAATTATAAATTATATTAAATTAGATATATTTTAATTTAATTTGTTCAAGTTACTATCTATATAAATTTAGGTTAAACTAGTTCCTAAGTTTATGATTAACCTATTTTATAAAATAAATTTAAATAAAATAAAATAAATATTATTTTTTTAAAATATATGTATTATAAATAAATTTAATAAAAAAAGTACATATTTTATGAATAAATATAAATTTAAGTTTTTACTTTTTATTATAAAATTAGATAATGATTCTTTTATAATTTATATATTAAATTATTATATTTTAAATAAAAATTAATTTTATTAATATAATTTAATTAATAAAATTATATCTTTATTTTATTTATATTTAATTTTTTTAAAATTAACTATTTTAATATAAACACGTTAATAATTTTTTAAATTTTTAATCTAATCAAATTTAACCTATTACATCTCCCATTAAAATAGAATTATAATTCATTTTTAATATATAATTTAAATGTAAATAAATTGATTTTGTATAATTAAGTTAAATAATTCGTAATCTTAAATATTATGTCATATATTTGTAAATGATATGATATATTCAGTAATAAATAATCAAAATAATAATTAAGGTTTAACAAAATTAATCCTAGTTAAACTAATAAAAAACAATAGAAAATTACTTAAACAAAATTTCATTTATGTTTTGTGACACTATTTTAAATTTCTACACGTATAGGAAAAAATTACTTTATATTCTATGACATAAATAATAATAAAAAGTTATGGTGGAGCAACATGAATCTTATAATATGAAACTAAAAATAAAAGAAGAAAACTTCATTATTGTGAGGACCTGATTTAAGTTAGTATATAACAAGTGGTACAGTGGTTTGAAGTTTAGTTGTTAAGTTAAAAAAAGTTATATAAGTAAAAAATTTAATCATTTAAATTTTATTATATTAAAAACTACTATTAATAATCTCATAGTTGAGTATAACAATTTTAACTAATCAAAATTTTTAATATAATAAGTTTCACTTTGTCTATTTTTAAGTATTTATATATAAATTTGGTGGGTTTATTTAAATTTTGTTAAGAGTTAGATATGTTCAACATGGTTGGACTTTTTTGTAAGTAGGATTTGAATTCCTGAATATTTGAAAGTCTTTGAAATTTTCTCGTGGTAGGATAAATTAAAAGGTAAGTGAAATTAGTTATATTTTTAATTTTAATAATATTTTAGGTTAAAAGATTTAGATTGATTTGGTCACATTACTTAAATTATAAAAAATTAAATTGTGCAATTGTCCGATGATTATAATTGAATATAAGTTGATAATTGACTTTTATGTATTGAGAATTAAAGTATAAATTAAAATTCTTCATTAGTATTTATATAATTTGTTGTCATCTAAATTTTGTTAAAAAAATTTAAAATATGTTTAGTGCTTTGAATTTTTCTCAGTCGTTTTTGTAAAAAAAAAAATTATGTTTAGACTTTAAGAACTTTAAAAAATGTCTCTTTAATTAAATTAAATTGATTATATTTATATCCTTGTAGTTAGAATGTTAAGTAATAAATTAATTAAATATATATATGTTTATTTTGTGACTATGTGTTGCAATGTGATAAATATCAATTGGAATTTTTATATGTGTTGTGTAGTGTGTACGAGTGTTGATTTCAAACTCGATAAGATATCATAACTTTAATTATTATTGAAATCATATATATAAAAAAATTATATAGTAAAAATTTAAATAGGTTTTGATGGTTTAGATTAAGGTATGAAAAAATATTAGATAGGTCATTAGAAATTTATTTTGTTTACATATATTTCAAACTAAGTATAATTGTGTCAACATACTTAAAAAGTTGTGGTGTTATAAGTACAAATCTCTCGTCTAATTCTATATTTAGTTTTTTATAAGTCATTAATGTCTATGTGATACAAATATAGGTGTATATGGGTAGGATGTGATGTATTTATATAAGTATATGATATGATAATTGATTTGTATTAATTATATCAACTTTAAAATGATTTTGTATAATATTAATATATATAATTATTATTTTATTATAAATTTTAGTTTGATATGTTTATTTTGAATTAATAATTTGTGCTATATGTTACTTAAATTGTAATAATAACATGCTTACATGAGAATAAATAATATAAATAGTAGATCTTATTAATAATAGATTTATAATCAAAGATAGATTATTTACTTTATTTTTCTAAATATAAATAGTAGATCTCATTAATAATAGATTTATAACCAAAGATAGATTATTTACTTTATTTTCTTTTGATGTGGGGAGTATCTAAATTTTTATTTTGAGTACTATGTGTAAATTATATATATATATATATATATATATATATATATATATATATTTATGTTACATGTTTTAATAAAAATAATTTAAAGATATTTTTTTAATAAACTAATTTAATAAAAATTCTTTAATAAGAAATATGATTTGTTATAATAATTAGCCTTACTATTTATTTTTCAGCACTTATATTTATGTTTTTCATGTTTAAAATTCAAAAACTTTCAATGAATTTTAATATAGTATCTCAGCTAAATATGTAATTATGAGTGTTAATATAATAGACATCAAGCAACGAAAATAGTTAAGTTAGATAAATAATATTGTAATATAAATTAAATTGGACTAATTGGTTGATGAGTTTAAATTAGACTAATTCATATATTTATTTTATAAAATAAGTATTATTTTATTATAAAAATATATATTATAAATTACTTTTATTTTATAAAATAATTATTATTTTATTATAAAAATATGTATTATAAATTAATTAACACATTTATTTTAATATTTAATAATTAAGATGAATTATTATTTTATAATATTCAATTACTAATTAATGAAAAAAATAAAAGATAAGTTTTTAATTCTTATTTTAAGAATAAATGAATATATTTTTTGTGTAATTAGACTAATAAACTAACAAGTCACTTGAATAAAATTAATATATATATATATATATATATATATTAAAATAATTAATAAACAAATTATTTAAATAAAAAATTATATTAATAAAATTAATTTTATTTTAAATTTAACTATATAATATATAAATTAGAAGAGATGATATTAATTCAATTTAAAAAATAAGAGTTAAAATTCTACTCTCTATTATAATTCTTAATTTTTAGCTGTTGATTTAAAATAATAATTTAGATTATAAAATAATTATATATTAAAGATTTATTATTATATTTTATTTTAAATAAGTAAATTTTTTATCAATTTAATTTATAATATATTTTTTTAATAAAATAATATTATTATTATTTTTTATTTAAAGAATTATTATTATTTTATAAAATAAACGGGTGAACTTCCATACTAATCTGACCTTTTGTAATAATAACAAATTTATTTCTAATTATAAAATTAATAATAATAATGATTAAATAAAAATTTAATTTAAATTAATAATATATTTTTATTTTATTTTAATATAATAATACTTTATTTATAAATAATCAAATCAATATTTTAATTTATTTATTTTATGTATTTCTAAAAGTATTTTAAATATGTTATTTTTAAAATAAAAATCAAGTAAACAATTAATCTTAAGCTGAATTCCATTTGATTCTCTCTGATAAAAATCAGTTGCTTTATGTAAATAAAATGTGATGGGTTTGGTT